ATTTAATTAATTATAATATATCGACTGAGTAATTTTTTTTACTAAATGACAATGACAAATTAATTCATCATATACCTTTTTATTTTAGATTTTAATTAAAAATTATTCGATGACTTTCAAAATGACGATTCTTTTTTAAAAAAAATATAACTCCAAGTAGTATCAACTTCTGCACACAATATTACATATTAATTTATTGAAATTAATTAAGTTGCAAAAAATGTTTCGATAATTCTTTACTTCGATATGTATGGTTTTGTCTTTCTTTCGCCACATTAAAATTTGAAGTTCACTAAAGCCACTCTAATAATAATTGAAATGTATGAAATTTATATCCAGATTGTTATATTATTATTTAAAAACCAAATTTTATATTTTTCTATAGTGTTTTTCTTAAGTTTTAAAATATGTAATAATTTAAAGTATACTAATTCTTAACAAATTATAACAAAAATATATTTTACTACTTGGATCATAATTAGAGAAAAAAAATCACAACAATATAATAAATATTTTTTTTATAAAATATAAATAATTATTGTTTGGTAAAGTAAAAGAAGTTTTCATAAAATATATGACAAACCATCATCATTGATTGGTACAAATGATAGTAACTTGTATTTCTTAATTAATTAAGTTATTTGAAATTTCAAATTTTGAAGTATGAAATAAATTATATTAAAAGATAAATATTTATATACACTCACAGTCCTTCACAAAAATTAATCACTGCTGATAAATTCTTTGTGCTAATATCTTTCCAATCCAATTTTTGTTTTGTTTTGCATATGACGAAATCAAACACGAGATTGGAAGATAAATATACATCGTTTTTACAAAAATGTGAGTATAAATATTTAATCATATTACGTCAATCTATTATGGTGATGTTTTTATATTTCGATCCACAATCTTAGATATATCCCTAGAAAATAGAAATGTTGAAGGAACACGCGTGAAACAATTGAGAACAATTTGGGCAGTACAATTACTTTGACACGTCTAAAATGGCAATGATCAATGTGATAGAGAAGCAACAAGAAACAGGCTCTCTCATGTACAAACGACATATGAAGATGCACCTTTGGCAAGAAGAAGAATTAACCACATAACACATTTTTAATAATTTAGTAATCCATTGATTTAGGGAAAATCGATGGATGATTGACCATTCGTCAATTAAAAATAGTAAATTCTTCCATTTAATTTCGTCTTCATAAAAGTGATTAGATTAATATGGATATGAACGGAATTTAAAATATCAAATTACTTCATACTAAATTAGAATAGAAGTTTACTTTTTATTTTATTTTAAGTTTTAATTTGGTACCTTAAATTTTTTTTCAAAAAAATCACTATACTCCCTTTTAAAGTGTTTATATTGGCTAAATTAGTCATTCCATCAATTTTTTGTATATTGATGGTATTAATTTTGGTTGGTGTGACATTTTTATAGTTTGTTATGTGTTACTTGCAATACTATAATAGTGAGGTAGACTTTTTTTTTGGGTTGTTTATGTGTTAAGGTAGTTTTTGATGCGTTGGAATTCCTATTGTTCATATCCTTTCTTTTTTTTCCCTTTGTAACTTCCATTGAGTGTCAATCTTGAGTGTTAGAGAGGGTTGGATTTTGTTTCTTCTCACTGTAGTTTAGAACTGTGGGTTGGTGTGGAGCTTAGGAGAGTGGAGCTTAATGTTGCTTCTTCTTCCTTCTCCCCCTTTCCTTCATTCAAGTGGCTAGAGATCTCAGGATTATTTTTTCCCTTCTTCTTCTTTCTCCTTGAAGAGCTCAAAATCAAGGTAAGAAAAACTGGATTCTTAATTTTTAAATGGGTTGTTTGGTTGTGAGTTGATTCATGAAGCGAAATGTTGTTTGAATCCCTAAAATTTGTGCCTGAGTTGGTTTAGTTTAAATAGATTGCATGTTAAGTTGGGGTTGTGGATGTTCTTGAATGAGTTAGGCAAGAAATGAATGATTTTGATACCTTGATGGTTGTGTGGTATTTTATGAGATTTTTGAGTTATATGGTGATAGTAGATGAATATTTTTGAGTTGTATGTATGAATCTGGTGATGAAAATAAGTTGTAGATGAAATTTAGGAAGAAAATTTGTGAAGTGTAAGTGAGAAATGAAAGAGAAACCATGAACATGTAGAAAAAATTCTACACTCAACGTTGGAGCATTGGTTTTGACACGAGCACTAGAAATACCCCAAATAAAAGATTCAAATAGAGATCCAGCACTGCAACAACAAAAGAAGTGCTACAACAGTAAAAAATAAGGTCTGACAGAGGTCCAATGTTGTAGAGACAATTAGGCACTATAGGGATGGGTAAAAACTAGACTGACAAAAATCCATTGCTAAAGCGTCGTATTAAGTACTACAGCGATGGGGGTAAATGATTGAACATGGTCTTAGGGTCTTCATGAAAGTTGTAGTCATAGATGTTAAAACCATCTAAAAAAGAGGTCTAGAACTCTAGTTATGACCTTTTTAGTGAGTAAAGGTCAAGCTGTTAGCACTCAAGCAAATTGTTGTGATTTTTGTGATTTTTAATACAGTAGATAATAGAGTTAGAACATGAATTCTTCATAAGAATTGTCGATAACCTTTTTAGATTTCATATGAGATACATATGAGTTTGATTAGAGCAGTAGGACTCCCTATGTATTGTTTTATGTGAAGGTTGTTATTGTACGACAATTGTCTTTGATAAGTTGTATGTTGATACATATAGTATGATGGGTGAATTTGGTGAACATGAATAAAATACTTGTGACTATTGCATGTTTTATGATGTAGGATGATGATAATAACCATTAGTATGCTATATTTGTGTAGTTGAAATGGTGATGAGCATTGATATGCTATGTATGATTGATATGCTGTTATTGAATAAATTATTGAGCATTGATATGCTATACTTGGATGGATTGTTAAACATTGATATGTTATTCTTGGTTGAGGTGTTAAGCATTAGTATACTATACATGATTGATGTTGTTGATTTTTATATGGATTTACTGGATGTGATGTATATAGTAAATGTATGGTGAGGTGTAGATGCTTAAAATGTGGTGTGACATTAAAACATGTTGGCTAATTGAGGACTTGAGGAAAGGAAATTATTTTAAAAACTAAAGATCCCACACATGGTATCTTGGAGTGGTGCTCGGGTAGGCCACTATTGGAAAATCCACCTTAAGTAGGTGTGTCTCTTGGAGTGTGTTTTTGAGGTTTGTTTAGTCTCCTCTAGGTCCTTAATTAGTGGTTGAATAAGGTAGAAGATCAAGGACTATAATCCTTAACCAAGTACCTAGAAATGTTGCGTGTTTCCTTAAGGATGGTTAGTAGGCTAACTCCACATGTGACTTGGTAATGCATGTCAAGGTTGTGGTAAAACTATATCCAGTTATACCACTCTTAATAATAATGGAACCAAACTTTTCTAATGTAAGTGATAAGACCCGAGAAATCAGAAGAGGGATTGGTATCCTATTTTGTTGTGATCGAGTCGATGCTTCGAGCATGAAAACAATTGGGTTGGTTCAATAGAGTGAAAATTACTTAACTGTTCATGTTGTTAGGAGATCTCTATAGGTGAATACGTGACGATGCGTTGGTCGATATGTTGCATTTGATGGGTGTTTAAGTGTTTTCATATGCATTATTGATGTCTTGTGTGACATGGTTTGGATGAGATACATGTTTACTTGGGGTGTTATAGCTTTCATGTATTGTTGTGGTGTAATGTTGTATATTATAGGATTGTTTTCTATGTATACATGCTTTCGAACTTTAGCTTATCCTCCTATTTTCATGATGATTTGGACTGCGATGATCATATGTTGTATGAGAGCAAATTAAGACTAAGCTTGAGGAGTTGTTGCTGATAGGTGGCATGATCTTTTGTGGATGGTGATGCTACTATTTGTAGCTTGTATATATAAGTGTGTTCAACTAGCACTAAGACATAAGTCAGCTTAGGCAGGATTAGGTTTATGTTAATAAGATTTTTTAACCAGCCTACTTAAAGCCAAGATATATAGATACCTATTATTGGTTGTGAAAGAATAATACACCAGAATGGCAGAATGCATTATTATAATCAATATTTAAATCACAAACTTGTATTAGTAAAAAAAAAAAAAAAGCTCAAGGTGAGGCATATGTGGAACTAGGGAGCCTTGAAGAAAACACTACTGAAAGTTTGGAGATTCGGGAAAATCACAGTGAGAAAGTAAGAAAATTGAATGAATCTAGAGCCTTCGAATATATGCAGCACACATTATCTTTTCATCAATCATTCCAAAAATACAGTCAAATGACTTGATGTTGTTATGTGGGAATTAAGTTATGAATTGAGATAGAGATGTCAAATAGTGGCCATCTTCTACACGAGTAATCCAAAGTTTTAACAAACAACATAATATCCTCTGCTTTTGATCATTACCTAAAGCTATCATTAGGGTCTGTGTTTAGTTCAAAGGAGGGGAGGGGATAAGAGGGATTTTTTTATTTATTTTGGGGGTGGGTGTGGACGGAAATAACTCTTTGTTTGTTTGGTTTACAAAGAGAAGGGATGGATTTTGAAAATTAAATTTTATAACCTTGTAATTTTGGATTTCAAAACATAAGTAGGGATATTTTAGTCAATCACTTGAAATGTTTTTAAATCTCTTCCCACCCCCATCCCCCCTTCTCCCCTCCATATTGGAGGGAACCAAAAATTGGATGAGGAGGGATTTTGACCCCCTCCTCTTCTAAAAATTGAACCAAACAATAATACTATATAAAAACTCCTCCACTCCCCTCCGTTTCCCTCCAACCAAACACTATTAGTGTCAATTGTCAAAAGCAATGCCTATAGTGCTAAGGGTATTACAGTATCAAATACTAAAACTAAATTTAGAATATTGTTTCAATTTTCAAAAGATTTCAAAGACTTCTACAAAATCATTTCTTCTGACTTTTGGGCAAAAAGGAAGATAATATACCGTATATTTAGTCTCAGGCTTTCCCCAACCACTGCGATCTGGTCTAGACCGCCCCAGTGTGTGTGCACCAGATAATGCAACAATTTCCTGCAGATACAGTAAATTTATGGTCAAAGTCAGCCGAAGGAACAGAATCCAATAAACTAACTTAATCCTTATGGGAAACAAAGCAAATTTACTTTGTCATTCAAACCCATTCGGTAGAAAACTTGACGTAAATGATCAGCAGGTGAAGGGGGACCAGCATCTAAATACCAACAATATCCAGAAGATAGTCAATTGATAATGTTAGAAAAAGGAAGTGTTTTCAATGTAGGATAAACTATCATAAATTAATCCACAATTATCCACTGAAAGGAACTAAAGAATGCACCATCTAAAGAGACAGAATTTTAGTTTTCAAATTGAAAACATCTACATTTACATATTGGCTATCTTCAGCAATATAAAACTTTAAAATGTAAATAGCTTGAGTCTTAATTGACTACCAATTATGGGTATAAGAATAATCTTACTGTTGTTTTCAAATTTCATAGTTGAATTCCAGTCAATGATCAATAAAATTGTATAACTGAGGCTGTTCAAAACCCAACAGGTCTGAACAACCAAATTAACTCAATTCAAATTATACTTTTGTCTGGGTTGTGCAGGTTTTGATTTATGTGAATTTTCAGCTTAGGCAGGATTAGGTTTATGTTAATAAGATTTTTTAACCAGCCTACTTAAAGCCAAGATATATAGATACCTATTATTGGTTGTGAAAGAATAATACACCAGAATGGCAGAATGCATTATTAGAAGTTAAAAAATGCAATTCTCTAATCACTTATCAGCCCTAGAAAGTAAGCTTTTCTTTAGATCGGATATATATATATATATATATATATATATGTCATGTTCCTTTCCTTAATCTTGTATGTTCTAGTGGTATAATTTTCATTGCTAGTAGTAGTACTTCTAGTAAGGGCAATGATCATGACAAATTGTTACATTACTAAATTAACTAAATTAATAAAAAAATATAAAAAAAATTGGTGGAAGGATTAACTTATTCTAACATTGATAATTTTAGAAATTAAAGTGAATTTTTTTTAACTCAAAAGGTTAAATTGAAACTAAAATTAAAAAATATGGGAACAAAGTTCCATTTTATTCTATAAAAAATTATATTAATTTTGAAACAATTTTAAGTTTTAACAAGTATTTATTCCGTGTTAGTGGTGTTGATATTTTTTTTTTCTAAATTGAAGTTAATGAAAGAAAAGGGTTATTGAATTAGGGTTTCATAAAACTTTTTTAGCAAAAAGTCTTGTAGATTTTAAAAGACTTTATAGGAATTTAATGAGTTTTAAGATTTTTTTAAAAAAAATTGTAAGAATGTAATGACTTTTAAGATTTCTTTAAAAGAATTTTTTTTAATCAAGATTTTGTAATATAGATTTTAATGAATTTGTATCTTAAGAATTTATAAGTTTTGAAGGATTTTATAAGATTTCAAAGGATAATATGAATTTTTTAAAAATAATACAACTTTTCTACATACAAAAAATACAAGGTTTAAATAAAGAAAGTAAAATCAATAAAAATTCCAATCTTTTAATAAATAATTAATTTTGGTTTCATGTCATCCTAAGTAATATTTATTTATATACAGTCCTTTATACATTTATATTTTTCTTATCCGTACTATTGAATTTTAACAATATATTAAAATTTATGATATTCACTAACCGGTAGAATTGTGAAACTATATTTTTAATATATGTTTGAAATTTTGATATATCAATATTAAATTTTATTAAAAATAAGAACTTATTAATTTTAATAATTTTAAAAAATTAAAAATATTTAATATTTAATAATTCAAAAAATAATTTTAAATATTTAATAATTCAAAAACAAATATTGATAAATTATACATCAATATTGATAGATAAAAATGTAACAAAAATATATTGATAGATAAAAAAAAGATAGGAGAAAGATAGAAAGAAGAAAAAATAAATAAGAAATGAAAAAAAAAAGAATATGAGATAGAGAAGACATGAAAAAAGAGAGAAGGGAGAGAAATAAAGAGAAAAAAGAAGATGAGATAAGGAAGAAATAAAAGAAAAAGAGAGTAAAGAGAAGATGAGAGAGAAGCAAAAAATGCAAGAGAAAAAAATGGTGAGAGAAAAAATCATGCAAAATTTCTATAGTTTTAATGAAATTGTTGGATGAGTTGTAAATTATTTGCAAATTCTATTAAAAAGTTTCACGAAATTCATCTATTGAAATATTCCATATAAATCTTAGGTTTTTGAATACCAATAGATTCTTTTTAAGTGAAAAAAATATTTAATTGAATACCATAAGATTTTAATATATTTCTAAAAAAAATCTTGATTATCTTAATTAAATGCCAATAATTTTTTATATACTCTTAAAAAATTCTAATTATTTTAATTGACTATCACATAACTTTTTTATATTAAAAAAATCTTAATTGAATATAAAACTCTTTATAATAATTTTTTAAAAGTATTTTGAAATCTCAATTCAATAAACTCAAACAATAAAAAGAAAATATTGTCATTGTTAAACTATATGTACTACCTTCTATCTTTATTATAGAACCCAACAAATTTTACTTTCTTTACTGTTAGTGAATTAATCATTTAAATTCTATCTATTAATTATTTATTAGTTCATAATATTTATATAATATATAATAATATTAATAAGGTCATTCCTTTGGAGCATATTATATATATGTCTTCTTCACTATTATCCAACATATAGTTAAATATATTTAACTGATACATCATTTAATATGTCACTTATTTGTTAATATTGCAATTAAGTCTATATAACTTATTGATAATTTTTTTAATTTTTTCTTTTTTTAAATTTGTAAAAAAAATTAAAAAAAAATTCACAACTAATTATTTTTAAATGATTATTTTTATAAAAAAACATATTAATCAAAATATAAATTTTTAAAATTATTTTGATTTCTTATATATCAATTAAACAACACAGTACATAAATTGGTGTAGATGTTTTTAATTTTTAGAATTTTCATTTTCTGAAATTTTTATTATATTTATTTTGTACTATTTTTAATTATTAGTATATTATTATTTTAGTATTTTTTTAAATTTTTTAACTTATAGTATTGGTCTGCTATTAGTTTTTTATTTTATAAATATTATTAATATATTATCATTGCTTATTTATTCTTTATAATTTATTAATAATGATTATAATTTATATTATTGTTAGCGTTATTTTTATTTCCTTTATATTTGGTTGAAAATTATAATTTATATATTAATTTTCTTATAAATATTAATCATTATTTTATTATTATTTTAAAAAAGCTTATGATATCTTAAATATTTATTATAATATCATTTTACTGTTTTTAAGAAATATTTATATTTGAAAAGGTTATTCCTTTTGTACATATTATATATAACATATTTTAGTGTCTTCCCTACTATTGTCCAATAGTATGTTTTTAATTGACACCTCATTTACTATATCATAACAAATTATAATAATATTAGTATTTTAGCATGTGTAATATATATAAGTTAAATATTTATTATATAATTAATTAAATTTTAAAATAAATTATGTATTTAATTAAATATTATGTTTGAATATGTAAATTATAATTAAAATTTGAATAAATAAATATTTTAAATATATAGATTATATTTTAGTTTTATGATAATAATGTATGTTGTAGTATAATATTTTTTTATTTATTGATAATTTATTTTAAAATAAAATTTAATTTATAAATAATTATAATAAATAAAAACTGAATTATATATGAAATTTAAAGAATTCCTAAAAACGTTTTCATAAAAATTAAAAAACTCTTAAACACACTCTTGCATAAAATAGTAATTTGTGTTTTATATATATTATAACATTAATTTGAGCTGATGGCTATTGTTGAAAAATAACATTGTTATTGCTTTTGAAAAATAACATTCCTTCAATCTTGCAAGTATATTCTTCTCTTAACGATAACCATAAGAAATATATGTTATGTATACTATTGAACCTGAGGCTTCGGATCTTCTTCACACGCTCCATTCGAATTCGTACCACAGTATTAGAGATATTACTAGGAAAAAGTAGGGGCGAGGGGCGGGGCGGGTACGGGTTTTATGATACCCGTCCCCGTTCCTGTGAGTCAAATCCATTCCCGTCCCCGTACTCGTCGGGTATGTGGTTTTCATCCTCATTCCCGTCCCCGTCGGGTATCGGGTATACCCGTACCCGTACCCGTACCCGTACCCGTCAATTTTTTTATTTTTTATTTTTTGTAAAAAAAATATATTTTTAATTTATTTTTTTTATTATATTATAATTATAATTAAGTTATTTTTCTATTTCATATTATAATAAATAATCACATATAAAAAAATATTAAATTTTTTTAATATAATTAAATTAAAAGTGAGTATTAAATTAAAAATGGAAACGAGGACGGATACGGGTACGAGGCGGGTAAGTACATACCTGTACCCGTACCCGTACCCGTACCCGATTTAATATATCGGTTTTACCCCGTACCCGTACCTGGTCAAACCGGGTATACCCCGTCAAAATCGGGATAGGTTCGGGTATTACCTGCGGATACGGGTATATTTGTCATCCCTACGAAAAAGAAAGGTTGAAGGAACATAAGCGAAACATTTGAGAAGAATTTGGACAGTACAACTTTGACACGTCTAAAGTGTGGCAATGATCAACGTGATAGAGAAACAAGAAACAGACTCTCAAAGGTACAAACAACATCCGAAGATGCATGAGTCTTTGAGCATGAAGAAGAATATTAATTAACCACCTAATACATTTTCAATGATTTAGTAATCCACCGATATCGGAAGCATCAATGGATGATTGACATTCGTCAATTAAAATAATTAATTCTTCCAATTCAATCCATTTAATTTTGTCTTTCATAAAAATGAATTAGATTAATATGGATATGAATTGATTGAGTCATAGATACTAAAATCATTTTGTCACCTTCATTGAGAGATGAAACATTATCAGCATGTGACTCTTTTTAATAAGCAAATTAAAAAATTATTTTTTTAGTAAAAGAAGTGTTGAAACTCGGTGCATAGAAAATGTTTTATAAATCAACCAAATTCAAACCAATTGCTCATCGATCTTCCTCACAAAAGATTCAAGACCAATGATTATCCATCACCCCATTGTATTGTATGGTATATATATATATATCTCACAAAATCAGAACCAAGTTTCTTACACTAGAAAAGACCATTACATAAACTTGGATCATGAAACATCTAAATCCTTTATAGAATCAGGAAGATATATACATATATGCGTCTAGATGTTTCTTTGTTTTTGGGTTGACGATTTTAGATGATATTTTATGCTTCCATCGTTTATTTTGGCCTTTTGTTTAGTCATTTAATTCATAATTTTGTGTGGCGTGTATTGCGAAAACATAGAGTCCTTTACAAACACGCCATTGCCAAAGGGTTGGTCTAAAATATTTAAGCAACAAAGGAAAAGAAAACAAAATTTACCACAAGAAGTAGAAGAGGTAAAGAAGGAGTAAAATGATTGTGGATGATAGTGATGTGATCTGACGGTTCATGTGCTACCACGTTAGAACTGTGTCCCCAGTGTCAGACGATAATTAGGTCTACACATGAAAGGAACGAACACGTGGCAGACAACAATTGGGTCCCGCACTCAAGTGTGAAAAAAGGGTTTTTGAACAAACTGACTGAGCCCTAAAGGAAAAACTTTCTGCTTTGGACACCCTCGATGGGAACAGATTCCAAATATTGGGAAATCTATATCACAAGAGAGGAATGGGTTTGGGATCCCACAAAAGATTATATTTGCTTGGACCCACTTAAGATTTCAAATTTTGCTTCATGGACCCACATTTTGGTCCCAACTCCTACCCTTTTATTTATCTCTTGTCCCCTTTACCATTTACTATACAAACATTAATGTAATATGCATTCTATGACATTCTTGTATGTATAGTGGTCCCTCAACTATTTCCATACAGTTTTCTTGGCTAGATCTTCGATTCTTTCAATTCTAATTATCTTGTTGGATTGTGTGTTGTGTGACGTGACTTGGTTTACCCAAAGTGAACAATAAAGCCGATGAAATATTTATTTCATGTTTTTACTCTTCCTAATTTAAATTTTGGAAATTGACTTGAAACAAATTTTTGGATCAGGTCTTGGGCGATGTCAACATTGCGTCCAATTTCAGGTAAGCACACATCTATTTTGTGATATTCGGTGGGATTTCATAAAGATCTTGTTATTGTTGTTTGCGTAAATTTGGGTGCAAAGTAGCTAACAATATTAATTAGATTAGGCTATCATACTAGTAAGCGGAAAATCACATAAGAAAAAGAAGATGAAATATCACAATAATCACCTAGGTTGAAGCTATTATGTATAGGAGTTATATTGACCTGCAAATGTTGCTAGCTTGTTTATTCAAGTTAAATTTCCAACATCTTATTACTTGTAGTTTATTCCATATTTTCGTGCCCGACAAAATGAGTTTGTCATGTATAACTAGTTGATGGGCTTGAGCATGCATGTGAATATCTATATATATTTAACGTCAATAATATAATTTGATGAGCATGCAATTCTATAAACTTTTTCTTATATATATATTAAACAAATAAAAATCTCCAACAAATGGTCCTTTTCCTTTTATAACAAAATGATCCTATTTAATTAGGGGTCACATCCTACATTATTCCTGAGCGAAATGTTAGGGTAAAGTAAGGTAAGATTATCCGTTAGTTGGAGCAAAGTCTCGAAAATTATCCGATGCATGCACTTTAGATTTAATTAACACACAGTAGCAGTGTGTATATTTTACAATAGCAGGTAGAGAAGGAAGAATATTAATAATAATAGCGGTTTAATTAGTTAGGAAAGAAGGGTGGTTTAATTTTCAAAGTGATGCACATAAAAATTCAACGATGATGATGAGGGAATGGGAACAAAGATCTTGGGTGTTTTCCTTAGCAATCAAATAAAATCGAATTGAAAGGGGAAGGAGAGAGAGAAAGTTGATGTGTGGTGGTTGTACCAACGCTTTAGAGAGAATCTAGGAAGAAGATCTCACCATGAAGCACACACACAAAAACAACACCACATCCATGCCACTGTTCCACCACAGTTTTTTCTCTCATGCACCCACTTATAGCAAACAAAAAAAGCTAAGGGGATAATTACATTCCACCTCTTCTTCCTATTCTTTCTTTTCTCTCTCTCTCTTTCTCTCTCCCTGCGTCACACTGAACTCCCCTCAGTTATATTATATATATTTCAACAACATACATTAATTAACGAGAGAGTGTTCATCAGCTTATTCTCAACCTTGATATGGAGTTTGTGGATACCAGAAAACTACAGTTCCAGCCACAACTGCAACCGCAGCAGCACCAACATTTTCATGTGCTGGCAGTGGACGACAGTGTCATAGATAGGAAGCTTTTGGAGAGGCTCCTCAGAGGTTCTTCATGCAAAGGTAATAGAATCCAACTCCATATCAAGATAACTTATGGTTCAACTAATTAACTGATGATAAATTTTCTGTTGTTAATTTGGTTTATGGTTCTGTGGTTAATTATATGATTATTTTTTAAGCAGTTACCTGTGTGGACTCTGGAGACAAGGCTTTGAAATATCTTGGCCTAGTTGATGAACTTGATGATACTACTTCCTCAACCTCTTTAGAATCATCATCTTCTTCTCCTCCACCTCAACCTCTACAGCAAGAGGTAATTAATAATCTTCTTTTGCTTCTTTCCTCTTCAATGGTTTTAACTTCTAAGATAAGTGTGCTATTTATGGTACGACATTTGAGCCAGGCCATTAATACGACTTGTAGTTTATGTATATTTGGATTTTCATCGTGTTTCAAAGTATCTGCTCCAGAGAGAAATAAAGGAAGTTTCATTCTATGGACTTATTTTGTTTCCGTGCATAAAAGTTATTGTCATAAAGTAGAATTCCATCTTCATCAGCTTACATCACTCATCGTTTTCAAAACAAGCTAGGCTAGACCGGTTACTTCTAAGTGGCATCCACTTCATTATGATGCAGCAATAATTATTTCTCTTATTTAAACTCTGTATATTATATATTTTGATCCAAAACTCTATTATATTTAAATAAAAGAATTCAATTGCCAAACCGTCGTCTGCGTTTCTTCTTTTTCGGTTGTCTTGTTAATGTTATTGAACTATTGTCAAGTGATGTGTAGACACGTAATGATAATTTTTGGGAACAAGAAGGGATTTGGGAATATCTTTCTCCTAAATTACCTTCAAAATGATACATATTTAGCAATCACGAGGGGTTTTCTGGAATTGTTGGTACTGTATGTAAATAATATGGAATTCTTGAGAAATTACATAAAGGATTAGTTAATTAGGACCGTTAATCTCATAAGAGTCATAAAGTGATTTTCAGTCTTCGGTGATATTTCAACCGGATGAGTTCCTAGTCATTCAAAAAGATATTAAATATAATTTATTATAAAGTGGGGTTTAAAATATTTACGGGTTGCAGGTCTTTCTCTTTCGTCACCATTATATTCATTGAGGTTGCGCATGCATATTACATATGTATCAAAATGCACTATATATGATATATGGATCCCTACATAAGATAGCATAATTATCTGTGTTATACATAGTTGTTTATACCAATTTCATGAAGATCCGATAGCATTGTGATCTCGCAAGCATTTGACCATCATGTCATAAAAAGAAAAAAGAAAAATGATACAACTTAATGAATTGAACTTTTGTAGAAAAAGTGGAAACCTTTTTACGTACAGCTAATTGTTGTTTTGATTAATCAGCATCGCCATGCTCTTAGAATTAATCGTACCTAGTCTTGTCTTCCTCAGTTTTCTTTACGTACGTCTTTCTTTTGCAAAAGAAAAACGGGTACAAAAAGGTTTTAGCATGCACCATTCAATTTGGTTTTTGCTACCTTATTTCATTGGCCTCTAATTTTTATCACAGTAAATATATGTAGTTGTAGTGGGATGAGATATTCCAAATTAACACCAAACAGTAACGTGTACTTTGTGTTGAATTGCAGGGAATCAAAGTGAATTTGATCATGACAGACTATTGCATGCCAGGGATGAGTGGCTATGATTTGCTTAAACGAGTCAAGGTCAAACACACAACTCTTATTCCCCGACATATTCCCGAAATTCCCTCTGTCTTTTTTAGCTTACAATAGCATATGTAGTCACAGACTGAAAAAGATATGCATGCCAAACATTCCCTTCTCTTTCAATCAAGACTTGGAATATTTTTTAATAATCTCATCAGTTAATTTGTCTTTGCTTCAACACTTTTAACGAGTGAGTGATATATAGTGCCATTTTCAGTAAAAAGAAAAAGGAAAAGTTCCAGATTTCAGGATCTAATAACTTTGCTTTTACTTTTATCTTTTATAATTTATACATTTGGTTATTCTTTTTGTTTTCCTTTTTTTCTTATTTTGACATTGCTTACCGATGCAGGGATCTTCTTGGAAAGATGTCCCAGTCGTGATCATGTCATCAGAAAATGTACCTTCCAGAATCAGCATGTAAGTTTTCCTTACTTCATATTCTGGGGGGTGGTTGTTTTTCTTACCTATACATTTTAATCAGTGGTAGCTTCATTAAAGAACTTGGGAGTTTCGTAATTGAAATGCAACGTCACTTTTGTTCCATTAAATATAAAAAAGAAAGAAAATAATGCAATTGAGAACTTAATTGATAGGTGCTTAGAAGAAGGAGCAGAGGAGTTTCTATTGAAGCCTCTTCAGTTATCGGATTTGGATAAGCTTCAGCCGTACTTTCTGAAATCCCTTGACAATTCTTGTGAAAAGGAATCTGCAAACAGTTCCATAGATTCCGAGAATGATGACAATGTCGTCATCATCAACAACAATAACAATAATAGTATTAGCAAAAGGAAGGTCATGTCTCCTGAGCCTCATCACGAGAGATCAAGACCAAAAATGAAAGAGTTGGCGGTGGTGTAAAATAACAAGTGGTTGATGCATGCATACATATTATATAGTTTATGACTATGATCCTAATTATGGTTATCTCCTCTACTCTACCAGCTTAATTAATGTTACCACCACTTCGTCTTTTTGCATGTTGCATGCCAACTTAAATCAGTGTGAAACGATTAATTTTGACAAATGCAGAAGGAACATATTGCGTGGCTTTAACTCCTTTCTAATGTATAAGTGTGGATTTGCACTTTCCAGGGCCACGAAACATGCATAAGTCAGTGTTGGTGTTAATTAATACCTCTTGCTTTCAACAAACGCAATAGAAAGTAACTGAACGAATTTGCTGGCAAGAAGTAAAATCAGTTTTGGCTGCCAAATGGTGTCGGGAGCACGTAGCACATATTCTTTGCACTATTTTTCTCTGTGAGATTTGCATGTATCGTAATTTTCACGACAGGTGACTTTGAATACATTATTTTTGTGAGTCTGTGTATACAAAAATGATTGTTGTACCAGCAATCTATATATATTAGACATATGTAAGAGACAAAAACAAAAGTATATATAACAAATATAATAGAAAATAAAAAATAAATAATGTGTTAATAAAATTATAGACGAAAAGAGACATTATGTTTTTCTATATATTTAGTTAAATAAGAAAAATAATAAATAAATAAAAACATCTTGCATAATGAAAAAATCGTGAAAAAACTCATGTGTACTGTATACAGGAGTTCATTTTGTAGTTGAGGGATAAAGAAATAAAGAAGAGTGGTTACATCTTTCTGTATTACATCCTTGTAATTAATTAAGGGTATAATCATTTCAAAAAATATAAATCAAAATAGGAAATATCAGCGGTAAATTTAGGGGTTAGGATTTTAAGTTGAAAAAAGTCATGTAAATTTTAAAAGACTTTGCAAGATTTTCATGACTTTTAAGATTTTGCAGGATTCCATAAGACTTTTGATCGAGATTTTAATGGATTATGCAAGACTTTTAAGTTAAGATTTTAATGGATTCTGCGGAACTTTGTGAACTTTGCAGAATTTCATAAATTTTTGACATAGGATAAAAATTCAAGATTTTTTTTCATACATTCAAATTTAAAAAGAGTCAAAATATAAAAATAATAAAAATAATAATAATGTCTGGATAAATAATAATAATAATTTTTTGTAATATCATGTCGTTCTAAATAGAATTCACCCACATATTCATAGCTATATTAGTCCTCCAAAAATTAGTATCTTTCCGCTCTTGCTCCTGTGTTTTAATAATAGGCTCAAAATTATGATTTTCATTATCTAGTAATGTTGAAGATAAAGGTTTGTTCATCACTTCAATTAGAAATTGATCATAATGACATTCTTTACGAAGAAAGTTATGTAGTCCCATACATGCTAAAAATTATTCTAAACAACATTTCAATTTTTTTATAATTTGTGATTTAAAATATTTTATTTATAATTTTATAAATGATTAAAAAAAATAGTGGAACAGCTACCCTACTCTCTTATAACTAAATATATCCCTTCATTTTATATCGGTACTAAAGTAGAAATTTACAAACATCAATTGGGAGAAAAAAAAAATATCTAAAATTTGTTAAAAGTACAAAATAATTTTTTAAATTTTTAATTACTTTCAATTATTCACTCGTGAATAAATATTTTTAGTATTAAATTATAAGATACTCCAATGTCTTATGTTAATTTTCTTTTTTAAATTATAAAAATCCTAATTTCATAATATAAAAATTAAAAAAATAAAATTCATAGTAAAAAAAAGAAATAAAATAATTGTTGAATCATAAAAGGGGAATGATAACAATAACAAATTCAAGAAAGGGAGAGAGATCGCAGCTTTTGTGCTGAGAGGGTTCTTCCTCCAACTAAGATTCATTCTTATCTCATTCTACTTGCAGAAACCCTAACTCAAATTCATCTTTTACATATATATATTGTTCTAATAAATCTAAATTGATTACAAGGTCTTGAAGATCTATAGTTGATTATAGAGATCATGATATCAATTTTAGCTTTCACCTTTCCCTTTTCTTGATGCGTATTATAAAAAAAATTACTACTTAATAAAAGTAAAAATTTCAAGTGTTTTTTGTGTTATATAACTGAGGAACAATCTCAATTAAATAGAGCAAAATAGAGCAAGTCAATTAAAGAGAACGAAGAGAAAAATAGAACAAGTTAATGACACTATCATTTGCATATAGAAGTTTCACCAAATAGGGGAATAAAATGGGAACAGTAGTACAGTATTATATATAAGTAGTAGTGTAGTATTATTAACAAGAGAGAAAAAATGGAGAAGACACGAGCATAGAAAAAAAAAATGAAAAACTCACTTGGAAATTCTTGAAGCACTTGAAAAGTCACTTCAAACAATCCTCCAAAATCTTATGGGTTTGGATGGAATTGTTTTATGAATTTAGTATTTATAGATACCACTAAAAAGTCCATCAAAATCCCTCTAATACAACAATCCTTTAAAATCCTTATATTTTTTAATACCAATGGATTATTTTTAAGTTGTAAAAAGTCTCAAATGAATACCAATAGATTTTAATGAACTCTTTAAAAAATCTTGAAAATCCTGATTGAATACCACTGGATTGTTTTTAAGTGACATAAAATCATGATTGAATACTAATGGACTTTTTTACTCAAAACAAAGTCTTTTAAAATCTTATGAAATTCTAAACCAATACACTCCCCTTAAAATATTTTTAGTGGAGTCAAATAAATAGTTTTTTAATATTTTCATATAAAAAAATATTACAAAATTGATAATGTTATGACAAAAAGGAAAATTAATATACCTAAACTTCTACAAATTATAATCGCCCTCTACATATTTTTATAATTTGAAAATGATATATGGTTTTAACATTGTCAATATCATTAAAAAAAATATCGCATGTAATTAATATTTTCTCTTTTATTATTATTTTTTATATAATTTTTTACTTTTATTAATTAAAAATTATAGGGACAACACTTTTTTATGGGAGCAAAGAAATTAGAGTTAATCACCTATACACTGCCAGTGTAAAGTTTTTTTACATTAACAACCAATCATATCTTTTAATAGTGTCATGTTAGTTGCTTATTTAATAAAATAATAATAATAAAATAAAATAATTTAAAATATATGATTGGTTGTCAGTGTAAAAAACTTTACACTGACAGTGTATGGATGATTAATTCAAGAAATTTTACTAAACATAATTAAGGAAAAGATATAAACAAAAATGTTGTGGGGGCAATTGCTTCCATGTAAATATATGTGCTTCTATTCGACGAGAATATCTATACATTGTAATAGAATGAGGATCGACTTGAATAAAACTTTTAGAAAAATTTTAGGAAGAGAAAATGAAAAAAAAAATGAAATATGCTTTTCTATTTTGCATTACAAAATGACGTGATAACCAAATGTTAATCAAATGAATAACAAAATAAAACTATAAAATTAAATCAATTTTTTTTTCCAAAACTAATCCGATCCAATACAAAAGCACGCCATCCTTGTAGAGCCAATGATCATTTTCGGTGAATAACCTAACCCTAAACCCATCAAATAGACAATCACGAATGACAATGAGAAAGTAGGCGAGTAAATGGGTAATTATTCATTTATTCTCCTTTTCTATGCTTATTTTCTATAGTAAGTATAATCCCGTGCCTAGATAAGTATTCATGACTAATATTGGTTGAGAAAGAGGTAATAACTTAAGTATGTCTCCTAATCAAATTATGAAAGATTAAAATTTTAGTCTTAGATATAAAATATTACATAACAAAATTACTTATCAAGTCATTTATAGTTTAAATTTTGTATTAGTTATCGTTTTTATATCATGCTAATAACATAATTATCTAAAAATTTAAAAATTATGCAACAATTTAGTTTAATTTAACGTCACTGCAACTTTTTCAACAAATTAAAAATACAGTTAGAATAATATTTTAAATAACATAATTTACAATAATCATTTGACATAAATAATTAGACATAAACGGTATTTTTCTAAATCATCATTAGGTGTTCATTTACCAAAAAGAATTTAAAAACAAAAGTAATGTTTTACCTTATTTGATAGTAAGAGAAGTAAAAGATATTAAATGAAAAATATACATTTAACAAGTTTGTGGATAATTACTGTAGTTTTGAAAATTGGATTGGACCAACTGATTTAATGGATCAAATCGATAATTAGTCCGATAACCACCGAAAACAAAAATATCTCAAAATTGATGCCAACCAGTAAAAAACATGTATAATCCAAACACAAAGTACATCGTTGGTATGCATAAGTAACTATGAATGTAAATTTTTTGGCTACTACTATCATGATTATATTAGGAAAATATTACAGTTAAAAAAATGGGTTGAGTTGTGTTAGAGGTTAGCACATGGCATTGATTTTGATTTGAATTAGAGATGGATTGTTCAAAGGTTAATTTGATCATATGAATCCATTTCCAATTCACCTGAAACGATACTTATTTTGCTGCATATGGTTAAGAAAAATGGTTCTTGGATACTCTGTATTATCTTTATTTTTCAGATTCAGCTAGCATAGCAACCGATGGAACCAAGAAAATTAATATTTAAAAATTAATGAAATCAATCAAAGATCAAAGTACGATATCACACCGTATAAATTTAATATACAGAATTGTATATAAGGATCAAGATTTCTTGCACTTTCAATTTGAACTGCATGTATCCCAGCAGTTGATTTATATTTTACATAAACAATATTAAAATAATAATAATAATAATAATATATCAAGACGATTCATCATTTTTATGTATATAAATTTTAAAATATTTTTATCTCTTATATATTATAATAATTGTATAATTCTTTTTTTAGTAGATAATAATTCAGTAATTTCATTTAATTAATTTAAATAAAATTATTATTTTTTAAAAATAAATTATAACAAAATCACTTTGTAATTTTCAATAGTAATATTAATGAAAGATAAAATTCCACCCCCTACGGTTATTTTTCCAAGTGCAGGGAGTCGTATACATAGATAAGAGGTATGAAAGTAGAAAAATCAAAGGATTTGGATAATTTACATGAACCCATGAATTCAAACCTCCTTATTAGTTTCATCAGGTAAAATGTTGGTAATTGATTTTCGCGTCATATAAAATTCCATCTTGCTCTAATATAATTTTTTCCTTACCCAAGTGTCATAACGCAAAAGTGGAAAAAGTTTTTCAGACACATTATATTATCAAAGGATTTTAAAAAATATGCATGAAATCGTGAATTCAAACTTTCTAATTATCGTTGTTTTAAAAAAAAAATACAGCCGTTTTAAGAAGTCTTGGTCTATTTTTATATTTATACTTTTAGTCTTTATATTTCTGATTTAGGAAATTTTAGTTCATTGTACGTAACACAAATAGTAAAAAATAGTTTGATGATATATCTCTTAATTTTCACACAAGTAAAAAAGAATTATGACTAATATGAAAGTAAAAAAATTCACGTAAACTCTAACATGATTTAAAAAAAAATAATAATAATTATGACATGTCAAATATTGTTTCTACCCCACCATGCTTGAAAATGTATGGGCAAATTAATTCAGCTACAAATTTTTATTTGATAATGTATTTTTCTAGTAACACATGGAAATGATTAAACGCGAAATAAATAGAGAACTACAAAACAGGATTTGTGAACCACGCTTTGTTAGTGTGTATTTCATTAGATACTCTAAAAAAATAATTTTAAAACATTATCATGATTAAAATGCATATATTCAATATACCAATTAATTTAATCTCTAAATTTTATATTAAAACAGACGTCACGATATAAAAACTTATTGGCAAATTATAACTTATAAGATACTTAGAGACTAGAGACACCGGAGATTTGGTTATCTGAAAAAACATGCACTAAAATTCAATTTAACTTTAACTCGGATCCCAGCTACAAGTTTTCCGGCACTAAAATCTACCCCACCAAATAAAAACTCCGATTTTATTCCGCAAAACATACACAATAGAAAAACCGATAATACAAAAAGGAAGATAGATTGGAACTAAGATTCACTAACTTTTGATTCCGACATAAAAAGGGTTTGTATACCCCACATGTAACTGTGTGTCTATATCCCTCCAGAGGAACGAACAGCTCCTTTTTCTGCAACGGAGAAACCAAATCAAAATATGCATGGCTAATTTTAAAAGTTAATATAGCACTCTAATGAAAATGATCTTGAGACAGTTACCTTTCAAAGCTCATCTTTTCCGGTGGTTTTTTGCTCATCTTTTACTTGCTCTTGCTGAGCCTGAGCATGTTTATCCCGGTTCTTTTCGATGAATTCTATGATGTCATCCTTGGTCCTGTTGCCATCGTATTGTGATATCTTTCCACTTGCTGACCTGAAGTACACAGTTGGATAACCTTGGACATCAAAGGTGTCACTTGGGATATCGTTGGCAGTTGCATCCTGGAAAGTGACAAATGACATGCACAACAAAACTTAGCAAAATAAATAAATAATAGGAAATGTATTACTTAAATTTAAAGTCTGCACAAATACATTCTGAGCTGCTTCCATCATCGACTGAAACAAATATACTATCATTATCATAATAATAAAAGCTAAAAAAAACTAGCGTTTCTCACCAGTTTTGCAATAATAACATCAGCATCATTTTGATATGAGACAGCAACTTCGTCCAATATTGGAGCCAACTGTTTGCAATGACCACACCAGGGAGCATAAAACTCCAGCAGAACTGCAAGGTGTTTGTGTTAGCAGCTATAACGGAGTGATAGAAGCAAGTGATGACTGAAATATTCTACTGTGTATTACACAATAATGTATTTGTTATTATATATGGCAGTATATATAATCATATAATCACAATAATGGTATCAGGAGGACACGTTACTTTACACGTATAATTAATGCTGATATATACATAATCACACATGCATAAGAGTATCAGAAGGACATGTTTACAGCCCTATAAAGTAAACAAATTTTGATTTTAGTCAATTTAGAATCATTGTTGATGGACTCTGTAAAATAAGTAAATTGTGATTTTAATTCATGTAATATTTTTCTTTAATTATCATCCCTCTAAAATTAAATGTCACTATCTTTTGTTCCTAACATTTATTTTCAAGTAGATAAATAACATTTGTTTTAAGTATCTATAAAGAAAAAAAAAAGAAAAAAAAAACTAAAGGTGTCACATGCTTATAGACAGTTGTGAGTGTCACTGCCACCTAAAATTGTCACTCAACTTTCTGATAAACACAATATAGACATAAATAGTTAAGAATCACATAGTGTAGAATATGAACTAAAAACATTAATTCCAAGTTTTGAGGATGAAAAATGAAGAATTTTTTTTACATGAAACCAAAATCAAAACTAACTCATTTTTACAAGAACTAAAAACATATTTAAGTTTTTTTTTAATTATTGTTAAAGCATGGTGAAATGCCGAAATCTATCTGATACTCCATTTAATAAATCCAATTAGAAAAAATAAATAAGTATACGCATACCATTCTTCCCAGAGTTGAAAACAATGTCCTGAAGACTGTCGCCAACCACCACTTTAACAGGTTCGTTGTTGGTTTCAGGAATAGGTTCAGACTTCACGAATGGTGCAATGCTCCCGTCCTGAAATATTCAGAAAAAAAAAATTGTTAAAATTTATAATTTTCAAGACAAATAACAGCCACAATTAGATAATTTAAAATTAAAGAGTTCATTAAACTGATATATCCTAACCACTACAAATAAGTAACAAATTAAGCTAGGCAAAGCAATAAGCTACCAAGAGAAATAAGAATAACCTTGTATGCCTTCAACCAAGTTGAAATGTGATCAGCTTCCAAATTGGGTTTAAAAAATTTCTTCCCGTCATTATGTTGTATGATAATTAGAGGTACTTGGTCTTCCTTCAGTCCAAAATACTGCCAAGCCATACGCAATGTCAAATATTTTTACATATTTTGATGAAGAATAGCTACAGTAAGTTACATATTTTGATACAAACCTGAAAAGCACCTTGACTAGACTCAACATCTCCCACAAGAAAGCTTACACCCTGTTGTTTAAATTGCTCAGCAGCTTCACGGTATTTTGATTTGAAAGATTCAGCACTTTCAGCAGTGAAGTTGATGAACAACATTGCCTACCAAAATCAAAACTTTAATTTAGGTTCCTTGAACACAGGATAAAATGGAGAGATAACCAAATGTGAACTATGATGTTTAATAAGGAAGAGGATTGGAACATTAGTAAAAAAAACATTAGTCGGGTAAAGCATGAAGGAATAAAGGTCAAAACAGAGAAAACATTCTGTGGAATGGTCAAGGAAGAAGGCTTTCAAATCTTATATTTTTGAAGCAAAAAAAAATGCATTAGAAAACGCAGGAGAAATCACAATTTACACAAAAAAAAAAGGGGGCAAAAATGAGCTTTTCAAGTCTGTCATGGTAGCACCACTATAGCACACAAAAAGCCACTAGCAGCCACAATGGCTTCAATTGAAAACCACTATTTGAATCCATGGTCTGCTAGTCCGCTACAGCTCTTATTGACAACATGGCAAGTTTAACAAATACAAAACACAACTGCAATATCATGATTAGTAATGAATTCTCCAGTTTAATATTGAGTGAACAAAATTGACTCAGATAGTTTATTACCTTTGCATTGGGACTGTTGAAGAATTTGACAACAAAAGGGTGATTGCTCGGATCATTGTTAAAGACAGTAACAACAGGGATACTAGATTCTTCAACAAATTTCTCTAGAGCTTCCCCATGGAAATCCTACAGGCAAAAAACAGTTTTGTTCACAACCAAAATAAGATAAAAAATACAAAATAAGATTGCATATTCAATCCTCCGCAGAAATCAATACTACCTTGAAGTCAACAAAAAGTTCATCGAATGGCTTGAACAACCTAACAACGGGACCCTCAACTGATGATTCTCCTTTTGGAAGGTGCTTGGCATTCAGAGTGTGACCAAAGTCATAATCAGAACGCAACTTCTCGGCTAAGGCAGAGAAGTTATCAAACTCCTCCCCGGAAAATTTTGGGAAAACTCCAACCTGAAAACATAGGAAAATATTATTATAGGCAAACTCGACTTAAAATAAAGCAACAGTGAAACCATCAGTCACTTACAATAGCAACTTTATTTTCACCAATAAATGCAGTAGCTTCATCAGCAGATTTAATTTCAGTTGAAGCAGGACCACTTTGTTTCTTCAAATAGTCAATGATGCCTTCTGCTTCGCGAGGACCTTTGTATTCTTGAACATTCTTTCCCCCATTTCTGAAAATCTTAATTGTAGGGTATCCCCTGACATCATATTCAGATGCAACCTCTTTGTTCTTCTCTTCATTGGCATCAATTTTAGCCAAAACAACGGGTGGATCGTGACTACTCAAAATTGAAGCAGCCTTTTCATACTGCAGAAACAGATATTTCAGAAAATCAGCATTCGCATAATCCTATCCGTAAACTTTAAAAATAAAAATAAAAAACCAAAATCAAAATATAGGTAAACAAAATTACCTCGGGAGCAAGCTTCTTACAGTGGCCACACCTAGAAAGAAAAAACAAAACCCATATGAAAACCGCAATGCACTAAAATCGATAACAATCAATCTCTAAGAAATCGATTTAGACCTAAACGAAATGCAGCAAAATTATCAGATAGAACGAAAATTTAGACCAAATGATTCAAAATGCAAATCCAAGACCAACAGTTGAAACGAATACACAAAACGAATAAAACATTAACAAAATCAGAGTAAAATCTGGACATGCAGAAAATTCAAACAGGAAATTGACAGAACTAAAAGATCTACGCAAATGGAACAGATCAGGAAAAGTAAACATAAAAAATAAAAAATAAAAAAAATGAAAGAATCGAAACGTACCACGGTGCGTAGAACTCGACAACGATGAAATCGTGCTTGCTGACAGTGTCGTGGAAGTTGGAGTGATCCAATGTGAGAACGAACTCTTTGGCATCGGAGTCCTCGGCAGAGATCTGAGACGCGAGGAGAGAGAGCGCGAAGAGAAAGAAGAAGCAAATCGAAACCCTACACGCCATGGTTGCTCTGTAGAAGCTTTGAAGATAGTTGGGATTCGGTGACATTCACGGGAAGGGGTTTTTGTAGGAGTAGAAAGTATAAACATAACCCCCATGACACGTGCGTTTTTTTGTATCTAAGATATTTTCGACTTTCGATACTGCTCCAATACGTATACGTATAAGTATATGACGAATCTACTGCTTCCACGTAGGCACTCTCTCTTACGTGGCGGAATTTCATTCGACAATTCTTGTCACACCAAGGATTTTTGCTTTTTATTTTGGGGTTTAGCATTTTCTTTTCTTTTCTAGTACCTGGTAAAAGGGTAAAACGGGCTTCCACATTGAATATATGCAGTATGCAGAGGAGTTTTAGAATAAGAATGTAATTAAGCAAGGAAAAATTTGTTGTTTTTAGGGTTCCATCACGTGTGGGTGAGGTGTATGGTAAACATTTGTGGCTGTTTGGTTGAACCAATGAGATGGGTTTGATTATTTAAGAAAATAATTTATTTATTTATTGCCATTAATAACATCGTTTGACCTTGTTTGCCTAGTTAGTGAGTTTGTCTGTTATCTGCATTTAATACAGGGATTAAATGGTTGAAGAGTCAAAAGTTAGGCAAAAGAAAGAAATGTTGAAAATTGGAAAAGATTTAAAGAATCGATGAATACATGAAACGATTTTGAGAGTTCTTTATTAAAAAATATACTCTCGATTTTTTTTATTTATTGATTTTTTAAGTAAAATTTTACTTTTAATTATTTATCATTTTCAAATTTAAAAATAATATCAATTATTCTATTATCAATTATATCATTATATCACTTAATTTTTAATTAATTTACATATAGAAATGAGAATAGAGATCTATGGTTGATCCTATTAAATAAAAAAGATCAAGTTTAGTTAAATTTTTATAAAAACGTTTATTAGATTTGATAGACTAATATATTTATCTATATAATACACACACGGGACCAACTAAGTACTTAGAGGAGAACAACACAGTGACCACTTCAAGGGACAGTTTTCCAGGGAGGGTTTTCAACAAATTGGGCTCTAAGAGCACCACAGCTACCTCAATCCACACAATGGGATGAGCAATTTCAAAAACATCTCCTCTAGTCTTAGTGATCAACAGCTCAGCCTTACGGCCTACAACAGTTCAGCCTTACGGCCTACAACAGCTCATATCAGCATGCAGCACAGCACAAAAATAACATCAATAACAACATACGACACAACTTAATAATATACAGCACAACTTAAACAACTTACAACACAACAATATTATAATTCAGCATTAACGGCACAACAATATTCATCAATTTTTAGCTCAACTCAGCTTATAACAACATCTATCAGCTAACCTCAGCATATAACAACAAATACACATCCGCGCCCGGCGCACTCATGGTTGCACCTGGCGTGGCCCAACCAGAGAGTACCAGGGCTAAAACGTGCCCGGAGCAATACCAATTGCGCCCGTCGTGTTAGGAGGCAGAGACTCCAAAGAGCGTCACATGCCCGGCGTGCCAAACCTGCACTCGGCGCAGGGTAGACAGAGACCTCCCCAAGGTCTCACGCCCGACGCAATATCAATTGCGCCCGGTGCCACCTTTGGCAGAGACTCCTAAGAAGCTGAAAACAACAAAAGAATAAACTCCATCTGCCAGCTGCAGACTCGCCTCAACTCACCAACCTAACCCTGCTCTGCTCTCATACATAGTATGATCATTGCAGTCCAAACCACATAGAAATAACAAAGGGTAAACTAGTGAAAAGAATCAGCATACATATATATAAGAATACATGAATGGTAAACAGCTATAGCTATCAGCACATCATTAACATACAACTCATCACATATACAGCATAAACAGCAGTAAACACACAATGCGTCGTCACGCATATCAGCTAGATTTGGTCGCTTGTAAGCGGTATAGCTCGACCCTGCCCCTATACCGTGGTCGCTTTATAATCGGTATAGCTCGACCTTGCCCCTATACCGTGGTCGCTTTGTACACGTGTGCCTTGACCTTGCCCACACACGGGACCAACTAAGTACTTAGAGGAGAACAACACAGTGACCACTTCAAGGGACAGTTTTCCAGGGAGGGTTTTCAACAAATTGGGCTCTAAGAGCACCACAGCTACCTCAATCCACACAATGGGATGAGCAATTTCAAAAACATCTCCTCTAGTCTTAGTGATCAACAGCTCAGCCTTACGGCCTACAACAGTTCAGCCTTACGGCCTACAACAGCTCATATCAGCATGCAGCACAGCACAAAAATAACATCAATAACAACATACGACACAACTTAATAATATACAGCACAACTTAAACAACTTACAACACAACAATATTATAATTCAGCATTAACGGCACAACAATATTCATCAATTTTTAGCTCAACTCAGCTTATAACAACATCTATCAGCTAACCTCAGCATATAACAACAAATACACATCCGCGCCCGGCGCACTCATGGTTGCACCTGGCGTGGCCCAACCAGAGAGTACCAGGGCTAAAACGTGCCCGGAGCAATACCAATTGCGCCCGTCGTGTTAGGAGGCAGAGACTCCAAAGAGCGTCAGTCTTAGTGATCAACAGCTCAGCCTTACGGCCTACAACAGTTCAGCCTTACGGCCTACAACAGCTCATATCAGCATGCAGCACAGCACAAAAATAACATCAATAACAACATACGACACAACTTAATAATATACAGCACAACTTAAACAACTTACAACACAACAATATTATAATTCAGCATTAACGGCACAACAATATTCATCAATTTTTAGCTCAACTCAGCTTATAACAACATCTATCAGCTAACCTCAGCATATAACAACAAATACACATCCGCGCCCGGCGCACTCATGGTTGCACCTGGCGTGGCCCAACCAGAGAGTACCAGGGCTAAAACGTTTTTAAATTTTATTAACTTAATTAAACATTTCACATTTTTTATTCATATTAGATTAATAAATAAAAAGTGGAACAATCACATTTTTGTTAGTTTTTTTTCTTTATTTTTTATGGTTGTTTATTTACAATATTTTTAAATGAGATATAAAACGTATTTTAATTTTTTATAAAATTATTATTTTTTGTTATGCTTATTGTTAGTATATATGAGAGTGTTGTCTTTCCTACGCAATTTTTTTTATTTTAAATTCTAAATTTTATTAATAATAATAAAATTAATTATTTTTTATCATGATAATTAAAAAAGACTTCTACACGTATTTAAAAATAAATTTTTTAGCTTATTTAAAATTAAATTTATTAATCTATTTAATATTTTAAGGTAAAAATAAGTTTGTTAATATATTAATAAATGAAATAAGATTTTTAAAAAGGTCAATTTAGAAAAAAGTTTATGATAAATAATAAATCAAATTTAGACTTTAATTTTATAAAGTAGATTCAACTTGTGTTTAGTTTGATTTAGCTTGACCTAGTCTATTCTTATCCCACATAACAACTAATATACATTTATTATGCCAATGAAATAGAGTATAATAAAAATTTCTATAAAAAATAGGAACTTTTATTAAATGAGTTAATCACCTATATACAATCAGTGTAAATTTTTTTGCAATCAATCAGAACCGTTAATAGTGTCTTTTTATCTGCTCATTTAATTAAATTAAAATAATAAAAAAAGGTACTATTCATGGCTCTGATTGACTGTCAGTGTAAAAAACTTTACATTGCAGTGTATAGGTGATTAACTCTTATTAAAATACTTTATTTGTGTAAAATAATTTTAAACAAATATTATAAAAAGAAACAAGGTAATACTCTTTACTTGTAGTGAAAAACTTGTCTAATTTTGTATTCAAATAGACTCTTATATTATGTTTCAAACTTTGTATCCAAATAAATTCTTATATTATGTATAAAAAAAATAGACTTTTATACTCCTTCTATTCTTATTTATAAGAAGAAAAAAAAAACTCACTTGTAATTAAGAAAATCAATTGACTACATTAAATTTTATTACTTTTACAATATTTTTCTTAAATTTCTCTAATTAATTATATTAAACGCTATTCATTAAAATTTAATTCTTTATGTATTTTCTTATGCAAAAATAAATTTAAATTAATAAGTATATTGTAATTAACGATTTAAATTTATAATTAAAAATTGAAAAGAAAAACTAAATACTCAATATATATGATATTAGCATAAGACGCATAATTCATAAAGTGTGAAAACTCCATCGTTTGGCTCCAGAAAATACTCTTATAAAAATTACTGATTTAAATTTATAAAGGCTAAATTATAATAATTAATAAATTCAAAGTTTCTTTATCTTTGACATGATTTTATTTAATCTTTAAAATACATCCATTTTTATACTCATTTTTAAAATTTTCTTTAAAATATTAATAAACATACGAAAGATACTATTTAAAGACTAACAAATTAAAAAGGACGAGTTATTCACGACTAATATTAACCAACTCGCAATTATTCTAAACGAATAACATCAAGGTTACATTAGAATCAACTTATGAATTAAAAATGAGTTAAGACTTGAAGAGTTATAGTTAAGTTTAAGATTTAAAAATGAGTTAAGACGTAAGAATGATAGTTAAAGTAGTATAGATGTGATGTTATGTGCGAACTTTCTATTTTAATTTATATAGATAAAAAAAAATAGTCTTTGTAATTATATGCATATAAAATAAATTAGAAAGGATGAGTTTTACAGAGAAAACAAAATTATATAATTATAGGATGAGTTTCACGAGTAGTATAGAAATATCAAACTTCTTGATGTACGCCAAAAAAAAAATAAAATTAAAGACCCATTAATGACAATGTTGTTAAAAAATAAATTTATGTTTCAAGCTGAAATAATAAAATGCAATTTATTCTTTTAATTATATATTTTTATTGTTAATTAAAATTTATTAAGATCAATGAAACAATATTAATCTTAGTTTTTAGTGTAATGGGGGTATTTTTAATTGAGAGGTGAGTTTTAGTTTCAATAAATTTTAATCAATAATTAAAAAATGTTAAAAAGTAGTTTAAAAAAATTATATGAATTGAATTT